AGGGATTATGTATTCAATTAGACAAATTAAATGAGCACTTATTAAGAATATTCCAAAATTGAGAAAAATGTATAATAAGCAAAATCGAGGTGAAAGAAACTTTATTACCTGTAGAACTTATATTGCTCAGGACACCCATAATTTCTTCGCTTTGCCAGCATTTCTTGAAAGTGAGGTCATTATCAACCCAAGTTTCGTCCAAATAAATAATATGCCTTCCTTCTTCCCGGAACTTTTTAATAGACCTAAGATACTTGTATCGCCAATGTAAAATACTGGGTCTTTCCATTAGTAATTTCCTTTTGTTGTGGCATTTACGCCAGTAAAATCCTTTTGCTTTTAAAAGCAGCCTCAACGATTCTTTACCAAATGGAAATTCCATTTCTTCCTTCAGTTTGATTAGAAGTTTACTACAAGTAGGTACCACTTTAAAATCACAGTAAAATTTTTCTATCATTCTCCGAATAATGGAAAAATCGACTCCATCAATTTTTTGGATCACAGAAGGGCGTGATCTCTTTTTTCCGGGAGAAGCTAAAGGCTGTGTGGAGGTTGCATTTTGCCTGTCTTTATCTTCTTTTCTAATTTTACTTATAGTTCGTTCACTAACACCCGTATAATATGCCGCCCTTGCATTTCTAGCTACCAGTGGATAAACGAAAGTATTGTTAGCCGCTTCTGCATCGCAAGCACGTATCACGTTTGCTATTATTTCCCTTGCCTGGCTGTGAATAACTTTCCCATGCTTGAATTCCATTATCACCACTAAACAGTAAATTATATTTTCAAAGTATTTGCCAACTGCCTACGCCTATGGGAGTAGGTTTATAAATGACCGTGCCATCGGCACGTTATTCTAGTTTCAGATAAGATAAGAGTTTTGGACCAATCAGCGACCGGATGTTTACCTGCGGCCTGGGTTTTCCAGCTACATTGCCAAATTCAGCGGAACAATTCTATATCTTAAATATGTTAATATGTATGGACCGCATTTTATGTAGAACATCTGACAACTTCGCAATTTTTTGTCCGCATTCTTTCGGCTTGCAATCTTTCGCTGGTCCAACATTACAAGATCAGCACGAGTTAACTTGAAACAAAAATACAGTCTTATAAAAATAATACTCTTTTCAGACTAAACGCGAAAAATGAGCATCTAGTTATGGCTGATTAATAATTATACTAAGTGACATCTAAATCCGAACACCCAGTTTAAATGGTTTTATTTTAATAAAAGTTGGTGAATGTATTTATCTTACTGTAAATAACAAGTGAAAAAATTTTCAGCCTTATCAGTTGGACATTCCGGTTTTTATACTGCTTTTTTTTATTCACTAACGCTCTAGTAGTAGTAAAGAATCAACGTTGGCGGATTTTGGTTCTTGACATCCTTTACGATCGGTTACGATGCCTAGAGTACGGAGGACCTGTACGATTTCGTCAACATAGTGAGTTTGATAGGGGCCGTATAGTGGGACTTCGGGAAGCTGGACTTTCTTTTCGGGCAATTGCAGTTAGAGTGCAAAGAAGTGTAGACACTGTGGTAAGGTGTTGTCAGGCATGGCTTCGAGAAGGCCGTACGCAAAGAGCAAGGGGCACTGGACGCCGCCGTAGAACAACAGACCGTGAAGATCGCCGCCTAAGATTATTGGCCTTAAGGGACCATTTATCCACTACCAGGTCCATTGCAAATGAATGGTTTCCAAAACACGGAAGACCTATTGGCATGCGAAGTGCTAACGAATGAGAAGTTTTGGCTTGTTTTCATACCGGCCACACTGGGTCCTCCTCTTAACTCGAGAACACCGACGTAATCGCCTTGAGTGGTGCAGACAACGGTCACTCTGGGATCAGGAATGGAACAGTATTGTCTTTAGTGACGAGTCTCGATTTTGTTTAGACATGCACGATGGTCGTGCCAGGGTTAGAAGGCGACGTGGTGAAAGGAGGAATCCACAGTTTTTTGTTGAAAGACATGTTCGTCACACTGTTGGAGTTATGATTTGGGGTGCTATAGCTTATGGTTCCAGGTCACCTTTAATCTTTATCAGAGGTAACATGAACGCGCAGCGTTATATCCGCGAAGTTCTAGAACCCCATCTTTTACCCTATCTTGACACCCTGGCAGATCCAACTTTCCAACAAGATAATGCCCGACCACATGTTGCAAGAGTCACAATAGACTTCTTTCAACATAATGATGTCACATTGTTACCATGGCCACCAAGATCTCCCGACTTATCCCCAATTGAGCACGTGTGGGATATGATGGGTAGGAGATTGCTCAATTTGCAACGTCCTCCTCAGACTCTAGAAGCACTTCGAGAGGAGTTGGTGGTTGCCTGGAATGAGATACCACAGGAGGACATTGACCACCTGATCAGAAGCATGCCTAGGCGCGTTGGAGAATGCGTAGCACATCAGAGTGCATCCACACATTATTAAAGGTCAAAGGGCTTTAAAGCAGTGCAATCATTTTGAAATTTACTTATTATGCTTCATTAAGTACTTATACAAAATTTTATCAAAATAAAACCATTTAAACTGGGTGTTCGGATTTATATGTCACTTAGTATACTTGGCAGCCGTGCGTTACGTGTAGCAGCGCTAGTAATTTTGTGGAAAAACTAGTAGGTGTTCCAGATCCGGAAACCTCACTGGACACGGGACAAGACGCAAAACTCCCGGACATTCCCGGATTTCCCGGCCATCTGGCAAGCCTAGTACAGGGGCATTTTGGGATCTTTGAGATGTGTCTATCATTATTTTACAATGCAGTTTCTATTAGGGAAAAAATTAATGTTAGTTTGCTTTATAAACTATGATCCAAAAATGTTACCTTACAAAAACTCGGGGTGTCAAATTTTAGGAAAAAAATGGAAATTAATTAATATTTTCAGAACCGCTTCAGATATTTTACTGATATTTAGTAGGTAGTAAAAGCTGTGTTTATGTTCTGCTAATGTGTTTAATTTTTCCAATTAAATTAATAATAATTTTGCAAGTTAGACAATAGAACGGTTTTTATTTTTTTTACTCAAAAATGGCGCATCAAAGGAAAGCAACTCAAGAGAGATCATTTGTTTTAAATTGAACGGGGAAATCAAAAATAATTTTTATTTTTCTCAAAAAATATCGAAGTCAATACCCGTACGCACGCCACTGTTAAACCTAAGAATTATTTTTGCATTGAAAAATATGTAACTTTAATAACTTTCACTACGTACTAAATATCAGTGAAATATCTGAACCGGTTCTGAAAATATTAATTTCCATTTTTTTTGTAAGGAAACATTTTTGGACCATACTTTATAAAGCAAAGACGGAAGGAAACATTAAGGAACACCCTGTATACATAGTTATCAGGGTTAAGTGGAAGAACAGATGCGTGTCACATCAGTAGTGCACATCTGAACTTCGCTCTCCGACTAACTCTCTTTTTTAATATAACTAACAACTTTATTTGTTGATGTTTTACTATTATAATCATAATTATTATTTTTAAATGCAAAGACAATCATCAAATACCTGAGAGACGGCATAAATAAATGAGGAAACTCACCCTCGGAAAAACTGTTAAAATCCGGCGTGTAAAACGCTACAGAATGCATACTCGAACCGGCTGGTCGCAGCGTGCACAAAACACAGGAAAGTAGTACCAATCACGCAAATGTATCAGCAGCGCAGCTGTACTCGAAAACAACAGAACGCTAGGTGCTCGCTTGAGCTTAATCGTAGCAGGCGGTACGGCGAAAACAAACGAGCAACGCCGCGCCGCCACCGCGCTGGTGATGCTGTATTGTGGAGGCGGCGGCGTGGAAGGGGACACGGATCAGGATGACTTACGCGGAGAGGCGGCAAAATAATACAAGGTGTATGTACCAATTACCATTTGAGTTCTAACAAGTACATTTTTAAGAAAAATGGCTACGAGTAGATTGACTCGATACTTCCTACGCGTTCGTTGAAGGTTTGAAAGGAAGGGGTGAGTCAAGTTGTTTTCTAGATTTTAAATTTGATGTTATAGTGCTAACTGATACATTTAAAGTATATGATACAAGTTTGATCCAAATTCCCAATTATGATTTATATTATAACGATGGTACGAGGGATGTCTTTTAAGTTTTGCATATAGAAACAAAGTAGGCCGCGCGGATCGAACGTCAGTACTGAATCTAAACCTCACTCTTTAGTAAACTTAAATTCAAAGTTTCACAACAATACGTGCAGTGCTCTCACTAAATTTTCCGCCATATTTTATAACAACTTTCGGAGACAATTATCGCAACAAGAATGCCTTGCTGAGGTACTGTCTGTTTTTGGCAACGAAGCGCCACATCAGTCGACAATTTCCCGTTGGTATGGAGAATTCAAACGTGGACGGGTGAGTCTTAGCGACGATCCCAGGTGGGTGCACCAAAAACGGCAATCACCCAGAAAAACGTCGATGCTGTGCGCAAAATCATCATTGAAGATAGACATGTGACATATCGCGAGATTGAAGCGTCCTTGAAGATCTCAAAGACCTCAATTAAAAAAATTTTACATGAAGAATTAGGAGTAAGAAAATTAGTTTCTCGTGATGACTGAAGAGCAGAAAGCAGCCAGGGTTAATTGGTATCAAAAAACGTTTCAATTCCGGAAACTAAAAAAATGTGTACAGCATTGTTAGTGGTGATGAATCGTGGACTTACTGTTATGAACCTGAAAATTAACGACAGTCGGCTGTTTGGGTGTTCCAAGGTGAAGAAAAGCCAACAAAAGTCATCCGGTCTCGAAGTGTTTCGAACAAAATGGTCGCGAGATTTGTATCAAAAGCGGGTCATATTGCAACAATTCCTCTTAATGAGCAAAGAACTGTTACTGCGGATTGGTATACCACCATTTGTTCGCCGAAAGTCATCACCGAGCTTCGAAAAATCAACACAATGCAAGCTCGCACACAGCCCAAAAAACAAGGCAGTATTCAACGGAAGAAAACGTGGAATTATTGGACCATCCTCCATATAGTCCCGATCTAAGTCCTAACGATTTATTTACTTTCCCGAAAATTAAAAACAGACTGCGTGGTCAAAGATTCCAGTCACCTGAAGAAGCAGTTGACGCATTCAAAAATGCCGTTTTGGATCTGCCAGCAAACGAGTGGAATAAGTGCTTCGAAAATTGGTTCGAGCGCATGCAGATGTGTAATAATCTTAGTGGAGAATACTTTGAAAAACAATAAGTTATTTAAAACTACCTACCGTGTTGTTTTATTTCCATATGCACAACTTAAAAGACATCCCTCGTAGTTTTAATAAAAATGAGGGGGTTCTGATTTACGTAAGACAAAATTTGAACAGTGGGTATGAAATTATTAATATAATTCAAACAAAAAGAGTAACAAATGGATACAGATCATTTTTGTGTACAAATCACCCTCTATATCTGTAACATTTTACAGTGAATTACATGATTATCTAGAGAGCAGTAGAAAGTTTGACATCAACTTATTCATTGGTGACCTTAACATTAACATATTAACATCAGGAGTTCCTCAGGGTTCTGTTTTAGGACCGCTGTTATTCATCATATACACAGCGGATATCTTGAAATTCGTACAGTACTCACACATTCAATCTTATGCTGATGACACGCAGCTTCTGTTTCATTTTGAACCATCTCTTGTGGAACAGGCAAACGATTTAATCATCACTGACTTACGAACAGTATCTGACAATTGTAAAGAACACAATTTGAAACTAAATCCTGATAAAACGAAACTTGTGCTTTTCTGTTCTGATCACAAGCGAGAAAACTTGAGCAGTGGTCCCTCTTCTTGAATGAACAACTTTATTTTTCAACTAGCCGTAAGATACTTGGTTTGATCATAAATGACAAGTTACGTTACCAACAATACATTAAAACAATATCTCAGAGGTGTTATTTGAAAGTGCGAGTACTGTATGCCAATAAGTACATTATTAACTTCAAGACGAGAAAAAATCTGGCTGAAAGCTTAGTGCTATCAATTATCAGTTATGGTTTGATACTCGTAGTTTTTTATCGATGCCTGGACTATTCGACTCAAAGGTGCCTGCAGAGATTGCAGAATAACTGTTGCCGCTTTATCTGTAACTTACGTAAATTTGACCACATATCTAATAGTTTCAGGCTTTTACAATGGCTTAATATCAATTCTCTGTTCAAATATTTTTACCTAACAACATTAAATCGTGTACTGTATGCTAAGAATCCTGTATATTTAGTAGAAAAGCTGGTCCCTAGGTCAAGTATTTATAATGTCAATATAAGACATCAAAACCATTTTACAATGCCTATGTATGTAACATCACTCTTTTTTAGATCTTTCACGTATAATGCAGTGTCTCTCTTTAACATCTATAGCAGGAATATCGATATATCAAATACTAATAACATCCGTTTCAAACTGCATCTCAGAGAACATCTTCTAGGATCAATGAATAAATGCCCTGTGATCAATTACCATTATTTTCTTTTTCTAGTTAGATTCATAGACATGCAATCGTTTACTATATATGTAAAATACCATATTTTTATGTCAAATTAGCATTAAGCTTTAGTCTTTAGAAAGGTTGAGTGTAAGAATAGCTGTGCTAAACTCCGCCAATAAAGCCGTTTATTATTATTATTATATTTGATCAAAACAATCAAAATATTCAAAATTATTTAAATATGTCTGAACATGATTACCTGTCAGCTATTAACGAAATGACAAGAGTAGCGGGAAACAGTGGGAGCTGTATAGATCATATGTTTATAAATTCACGTATAGAACTTGACAAAACATATTCAGCAATTCTAAAATACAAAACTTCTGATCATTTTCCTACTTTGCTCAAAATCGATCTTGAAAGTACATCAACCAAAATTGGAAAGACAGTTAATAATACAAAAATTTACATTGATTATGAAAAACTAAACAACAACTTACTCAATGAAAATTGTATTGCAGTATATAACGAACCTAATATCGAAAATGCATTTGTCCTTTTTATATCTAGCATTGAAGGCCATATTGCTGAATGCAGCAAAACAGTAAAGATTCCACGAACACAAATAAAAAGACAAGCATGGATATCAAAAGGGATTATTACCTCCATCAACAAAAGAATAGAATTATACAGGGTGTTTCAGTTTATTGTTGCATAACTTTAAGATTCGATAGAACTTTTAAAATTAATGCATACAGTCTATATAAACATGGGTCGAAAAATGCGTGGCTTCCGAAATACAGGGTGTTTAAATTTACTTTCTAAAATAGTTTTTTTTAAATATTTCGAACAATATTTGATGTATAACAGTGAAAATTGGTATACAAGGGTTTTTTGGTACGAAAAAACGAAACATGGGCATAGTTTTACTGTAGCCGCTAGAGGGCGCTCTCTACTGTACCTGTAGTGTATTAAAATGACCGAAAATTTTTTCTTAGTGCAATTTTTTGAATTTTCGTTATAGTTAGCCGTTTTTGAGATATTTCGATTTTTAAGGTTCGATGCATTTTTAATTATTTATGATAAAATAACGTTAAAAAGTCAGTATCTCGATAATTTTTAGAAGTAGGCTGTGCCTGCAAATATTTTTGAAATTGAAAGCAGAATAAGGTTAAACGTCAATTAGTTGACAGTTAGTTTTGTTGTCTGTTGAAACCTGAAACGTTTTTTTGCAATTGTGAATGCACGAAATTTAGTTTCTTTTACCTGTTTTTTTTTTGTAAGTTTTATAAAAATGCCATTTTTATTCTCCAATCAAGAGTTAGCGGATACTCATTTTGCGTATGGCTTTGTAAATGGAAACGCAGCAGAAGCAGCCAGAGAATACGCACGAAGATTTCCAAACAGACGACATCCAACTCGCTCAGTATTTGTAAGAGTGCATCGCCAAATAATTGAAAATGGTTTTGAAAATCTCCAAAGGGATCAAAACATAAATGTTCGTCAGCGCAGATTTACCCATATGATTCTGCGTGAGTTTGATAGAGATCCGACCACAAGTGTTAGGAGAGTTTCTGGTGCCTTGGGAATTTCACCAAGCCATGTTCACCGTGTTCTTAGAAATGACCATAGACGTCCTTACCATTTGCAACCTGTGCAAGGACTACAGCCAGGGGACGGAGAACGAAGAATCACATTTTGTCAGTGGATTCTTGATAGAACTGATAATAATAGGGAGTTTTTAAGTAACGTTTTATGGACCGATGAGTCATGCGTCACTAGACGTGGAGTGGTAAATTTTCATAATCAACATATTTGGTCGCATGAAAATCCGCATGCAGTTCGGGAAAGAAATTTTCATCATGAATTTAGTGTGAACATGTGGATTGGTAACTACCGTAATCGACTATTTGGACCCTACCTTTTGCCTGCAAGGTTAAATGCTGCGACCTTCTTGGAATTTTTAAAGGCTGGTTCCAGCTTGATGGTTGTCCAGCTCATTATTCGAGAAAAGTTAGAAACTGGCTGGACGAAAATTATCCAGAAAGATAGATCGGCCGTGGAGGACCAGTCGCCTGGCCTCCACGATCCCCTGATCTAAATCCATTAGATTTCTTTGTGTGGGGATTTCTGAAAGAAAAAGTGTACGAGACTCCCGTAACCACAAGAGATATGCTAATCGACAGAATCAGGAATGCATGTGATGAAATAAGGCCTTATTTGAATAATGCTATACCACGTTCGATCATTCGTAGATGTGAATTGTGTATTGAACAATTGGGTTTACATCATTTCGAGCAACTAATTTAGACTTTGTATGTTTGTCCTAACTATCCAATAGCATTTTAGTTGTAAATAATTAATTTAATTTGTTAAAAATAATATTGGAAAATTAAACAAATTAATATTGTTTTTTGTGTTTATTTGGAGTTAGGAATTATTGCTGTGTTTAAAAACACAATCTAAACGATCATCTTAATTACTTGTAATGCCCAAATCGAAAATGTAAAAAAAATATTATTTTCCCATAAATAATTAAAAATGCATCGAACCTTAAAAATCTAACTATAACGAAAACTTACAGCAGAGCTTTTTATGTTGAAAAGTGCGAAGAATCAGTTTTCTTATTCGTCGTACCAAAAAACCCTTGTATACCAATTTTCACTGTTATACATGAAATATTGTTCGATATATTTAAAAAAAACTATTGTAGAAAGTAAATTTAAACACCCTGTATTTCAGAAGCCACGCATTTTTCGACACAAGTTTATATAGACTTTATGCGTTAATTTTAAAAGTTCTATCAAATCTTAATGTTATGCAACAATAAACTGAAACACCCTGTATAAGGAAACCAAAAAATATCCTTATGATGTGAATCTTTTGAATGAATTTAAATCATATCGAAACAGACTGACAAAAATAATTAAAGAGGCTAAAATTAAATATCTCCAAGAAGAGTTTGATAATCTAATTGTTCGTCCAAAATGTGGCAATTTATCAATAAAATACAAGGCAATAAACAAAACAACAAAATTAGTACAATTAAAAAAGAAAATGGTGAACTTGTGAGTAATGATGTAGATATAGCAAATGAATTTTGAGAATATTTTTCAAAAATCGGGAAAAGGTCAGAAAACGCGGAAAAATTAAGTTATAGTAAGACCAGATTATATAATAATGACAATAATCAATGAATTGAAATTAAGAAAATCTCCAGGTCTAGATAATATAACAGCATATACTCTCAAGAGAATAAATTCCAACATCTGCGGCATGCTGTCATATTTGATAAATTCTTGTATGAATAAAGGAATATTCCCTACATGTTTAAAACACGCTATAGTAAAACCATTATTTAAATCTGGAGAAAGAGAAAAACCCATCAACTATCGACCAATTTCCATCTTAACCAATTTTTCTAAAATATTTGAAAGAGTGTTAAAAAAACGATTGATCGAATTTGCAAAAAAATATAACTTAATAGCGGAACAGCAATATGGTTTTTAAGAATTCAAATCTACTCAAGATGCTATTGTAAAATTAACAAGTAAAATATACGAGTATCTCGATAATGGAAAACCAACTGCAAGTGTTTTTGTTGACTTGGCAAAGGCATTCGACTCTATTACTCATGAATCGCTTTTAACAACATTAGAAAACTTAGGTTTCCGGGGAATAACATACAAACTTATAAAAAAATATTTGTCAAATCGAACACAGTGCGTCAAAATTGATAATACATTTAGTGATATATGGTATCGTACGGTGTACCTCAAGGTTCAGTATTAGGGTCCATTTTATTTAATCTATTTATCAACGATTTGTTCAAAATAAGTAGTACAGGTTAAAGTTATCGGTTTTGCGGATGATACAGATTCTCTATGAAAGTAACCAGTGGCATACACTGAAAACCACATTCGAAAATGATTTCAAAACATTTATAAATTTCTTTTCGGAAAGAACTATGACCATT